TACTTGCTAGGAAAACAACGCAAAGTAAATGCAATACTTCAAAAAACCAAGCTAAACGCACACGTCGTCAACTAAACAAGAAAATAAACAATAAAGCACGCGCCATAATAAATGAGTACAAACGCCAAAAGCGTACATACATACACAATTACATCAACCCAAAGGAATGGGCCGGGTTTGCGGGGATGCCATTGCATTGTCAGTTGTGAGGAAAATTTCTTTCGGAATGCAAAATCATCTCTCTCCCTGATCGTAGATGCTAATATGGAAAGGTGAGTTATTATCACCAAGCTTGAAAAAAAAGGAAACCACCGCACATTCGATCGTTGCACTTAATTCGGCTAAACCGGTTTCTGAATCAGGAGATCAGATCCAGAAGCGTTTTTGATGCAGTTAAAGGTAGATGTGTTGACCAAGCTATAAATGGAGCTTTTGACCCTAAATTCAACTTTCAACGGAAGGAGAGGTTTCATCAAATTTTCATTGTCACAACAGAATTAACACGCAGCTGTTTGACGGTCATTTCAAGTAGCCACGTCACCTAGTGTGAATTTCGAAAGATTTGATTGGATAGTAAAAGTTTTGCAAGATTGCATTTTATCATAGATAACAGTTTATGATTACTCGAGCACTTTAGTCGATTTGTTAATAGATCGAGGTTACGACACTGATTTGCACTGTATGAAATCACGCTATCTTACAAGAAAATGGCCTCAGAGGAAACTAACGCTTGTCCTGGTTCAGATGGTGATTTGATAGTTTTTCCAAGAACCTTCTACGACCACTATGCAGTCCGTGGAGAAAATGAAGACATCTTCCACGTAACGTCTGCTAGAGGACTGAATACCTCTGACAGTCTATTGAATTATAGCAGTGTATTTCATTCCACCACAAATCCCAGCATGGCAGTCATAAAGAAGGAAAAATGCAACGCTTTCATCGAAGAATGGGATAAAGCGTATGTAGAAAAACATTGTAGCCTTCCGATTTCGGAAATTGTAGACAGAGCTAATTCTAGAGTTGGTGAAGTAGGATATAATTTGCTTACCAATAATTGTGAGCATTTTGCCCGATGGTCTTGTGATGGAGAATCGAAGAGCAAACAAGCTGATGCATTGATGCCTCGTCTTTTTATGGCTGTTTCATCATTTATTTCTTCGATCTTTTTTATAATTTTTGTAACGATGTTTAGAAGAGAAGAAGAAAGAGAAGAAAGAACATGATTGCTGTAGAACACCAAGTACAAGAACTGAAGCAGTTACTAAGGACCAGATATTTCCTGTTTAATCGATGTTTTTTATGTTTTTGCTTTGTAAGAAATTTACCAGATGGTAAATGTAGTTAAGCCTCAGGGGGGGGGGGGGGGGGGGGCAAAGGGACCCTCCCCCAATTTTTGCTTTTTTCGTTTTTAAAACCCTTTTTTTTGAAGAAAAGCACGCTATTTTTAAAATAAAAAAAAAACTGTTGGTGTGTGAACCTTGACTAATTTGTTTTTTTTTTGTCTTATTATTTTTTTTTCCATGTCGACTTTTGGCCCTTTTTTTTATTGCATCGCGCACATTGGTCCCTGTTTTCAAGGCCCTATTCATGGCTAGACTTTAATCATGATAAGACTAGGTAGCTTATGGTACAACTGTATTCATTGGTCGAGATTTGAGACACTGTCTAGCTATAAAGTTTTGCTATTTCAGACCTGGTCATTATTCGCCTAGCTTGCACGAAAGCAAACAGTTACAGTAATTTTGTTACCCACCCTCCCTCCCTATGGAGGAGTTTTGTTGTGTTAGGTATCAATAAAGTTTCGGGGGTCACTCCTTGTGGTGCGGTTAAGTCTGCGTTGCGACTTCCCCCAAGCTTTCGGCATTGCTTGTGTCTTGCCATCTTATTCATTTGCCTTAATCTTGTCCGATCCAGCTCGTGCGGTGCTGGGGAGATAAGAAAGGCTCTGCCAATACTCTTGTCTTACCCCACGGTAGTGGGGCGATAAGTGAGGCTTGTGTTTTTGCTGTGCGCATAACCTGAAGTCGCTAGAACCTGCCACAGGGCTGTGTCCCCCCCTTATAACGCCATCTTGTAGTAATTGTCTTATTTGCCTGCGTGCGCTATTTAGTTGTGTTACCTTTTCATGCGTATCTTAAGCGGAATAGTGACGTTAAATGCTTTTTTTTTCACACCTTCCTTTTCTATAGTATGTTGTGTATCGTTTCCGTACGCCGAAACGTAGTGTTTCTATAGGGTTAATTTTTAATCTTTACTTTGAATCGCAGATCACATCCATTTGACAAGTCAGTTTAATTATTTAGTAGGTCCAGTTAATACTTTAATGTGTACATGTGTCTTTCTTCCCGATAACTGTTGATAAACAAGGAGATATCCAGGTCATTAACGCATGAAATAATCAATTTACACTTCTTTAACCCTACAAAACAGGTCATTTCGGAGTTGCCCCAAGACTCTGTTTCAAAGCGAGGCTTAGTGCTAAGCCATTGATATGGAAATGCCTTTTTATTCTCATGGGAATAAAACACATTTTCACGGAAAGGTTTTGTACTTAGCCTCGTTTTGAAAGTGAGAGTTTTTGGAACTAAGAAATGGCATATTCTGAAAATAAAAAATGCTATCTGCTGATAGTAAGCGAGCTTCTTTAGTCCTTAAATGAACTTGGTAGTGTTTAAATTTGTTTAGCAATATGGATCTTTGACTAAAATTACTAAAGAGAAACTTCCCAAAATTGTTTTTACGTTGTCTTTCTTCTTCTCTTTCTTTTCTGGCCTTGTCTTTCTCTTTCTTCTAATGTGGGAGTAAATAATTTGTCACTGATCTATGTGCTTGCCTTTGAAGAGAAGGTCTCAGGCGGAATTTATAACCTCCTAGGTATTCATGGTTAAATATTGTGTCAAATTTATCATTCATTATTTTAACGTTTGCAGTCTTTCCCATCTTGCCTTCCTATTCTTCCTGATAAATAGTTAATGTTGTTGGGTTTTTAATAGGTAATAATTTCCCTTTAATTGACTTCTCTTGCGTAAGCCCAACAAGAACTCCTTCCTCACTAAACTGATAAAAAACCACTTCCAAAATATAAGACAAACCTCCCCGATGAAGCCCATAATTTGAAAAACCCCCTATTTAAAATATAAACGTAACTCCCCCAGATTTACACGTGGAAAGATCATCTTTGCTATTATTGGACGCCAAATGTATTTTTAGTATTTAGAGTGGTTATTCGTATGTAACCAAAACAAAGGTGGTATTTACAAATAACCACATTACAGTTACCAAAATATAAACATGATTATTTACAAATAACCAAAACTGAAATTTGGTTATCTAGCAAATAACCCAAATTAAAAAGTAGTTATTTCTAAATAACCAAAATGCAAAGCTTTTTAAATAACCAAAATGTGAGACTGGTTTTTTATACATGACCAGAATGGAAAGTTGGTCATCTATCAATGCACAATTGGTTATTTAGTAAACAACCGAAATGAACAATATTTATTTATTTAAAATTAAAAAAAAATTGCAAAAATGGTTATTTACCTAATTTGGTCTTAACAAGTGACCACGTGTCCCATTTTTCCGCTCATTTCCCATAATGACCTGCAGACTTCAATTTCCACATGGCTTCTTTCAACGATGACACTTAACAATTACTCCAACGGTGCGCGTTTTATAAAAGCTTAGTCGGAATATCATAAGCTGTCTGATACTTCCTTACAATGATTTTTATCTTTCAGCTTGCGGTGCAGTCGTGAAATGCTACCCGAACGAAATGTCCATCTTTCTTTCCAAGTCCTTACTTCTGGGCGTCAATCGACAGAACCTTCGACTCTTGGACTCTAATTGCACAGCGAAAGATAATGGAACGCACTTTTTTCTAACGACGACGTTGATTGGCTGTAGCACCTCGAGCAGGCACACAAATGACAGTGTAGTATACAGCAATATGGTTCGGCAAGTGTTTTCACCGACAACAGTTATCACGAGAGCACCAGAAATTAGGATTTCCTTCAGTTGCCATTATTCCAAACATGGTATCGTATCTACTGGTGCTCTAACAAGGAGAAAGACAGCGAAAATGGGATCGAGACAAGCTGCTGGTCAAGATTTCGCATCAACTGAAAACATATGTAGGAATGAACGGTAAGATATGTCCCATTACAAGAGTCTATCAATCCAAGTCTGTTTAAGGCTGGGCCTAGGCCCTCTATTCATGGCTATAAGTCATGAGCCTTTTTGTCAAGTACTTGTATGAGTTGGTTTTCGTTAAGTGACAGCTAAAAAAGGCGTTTGAATAGAGGTCACTCAATTGGTGTCCCACTTAAAGAGATAGCCACTTTAACTGACGATCAAAGAAAATGACCGAAGAATGGAAGGGACAAAACAAAGATGTCATAATACTTTTAATAACCTTATCCAAGACGACTCCCTGATCTTTAGGGGCTCAAACTATCATTTCATAGAAAACCGTTAAGGGTATAGGATAAACTCTTCACCTGAAATATGATGAACATTTTACCCAGATTAAATATCGTCTGTCCCACGTACTTTTCTTTCTGTTTTATTTTTCCAGGCTTTTCTTCTATTCCGGTAATCCTACCTGCCCAGCAAGAAGGAAAAGTCACACAACCGTTAAAAAAGAAGAAAGGACCGAATATAGAGAGGGTGTTCCCTAGCGTTAACTGAGTTTGTCTTGATACAGTAACGTAAAGGCAGTAATATCGACGCACCACGAAGTATGGGCGATACAACAGTCGCTGCACCCACTTGAAGTTGTGAAAGTAAACTTGAAAAAAATACAGCAGGAAGAAGCCGGAACGGCTCGGGATCCAGGGATACAATATTTTGAATGGACTCTATTATAGAGGAAAATATAGTAGAGATATATAGTGACTTTGGAACGAAGCACGATGCTGTTATGTCCTTTAAGTTAAGCCCTAAGAGTGATCAGCATCCAATTTCTCCTTGTATTAAATATCAATGCTTTGTAAAGCAGAGTGGTCATGAGAATCACGGACATGATCACACAAGATGAATTTGCTTGATGTTTTATCAACTTTTCCCCACTACTTCTGTGGGAAACGAATAGGGGCAACAAATGAGAATTCAAAATTTGATCTTAGGGTTTAAAGGGTTATGAAAGCTGTGTCACAAAAATTATCAAAATTCAAACAGTAAAGGCCGTCGCCAAATTAAGTAAAACATAAAAATAAGGAAAATTTAAATAACAGAGCAATTACAAAAGGAGACACGGATGGACAAACCTGAAGAAGATTAAAACGGATTGCAAATTCCCTTTTTTGAACTGAACTTGTTAGCCTAAACGTTTTTCAAAGTCAGTGTCATTCTTGTCGTTTGTAACGTTTGGAATAATGCTTTGGGAGATATATTTGTTTGATACGAAATTGTGATTTTGTCTTTTACAAGTAAATGTTTCGCTAACGTCAACTGAGTTCCTTAGCAACTAAAGAGGCGTTATAGGCACAGTATCGACCCAATGCTAGACAACCGTGACAACCCTTTAATCAAATCGAAGAATTTTTCCAGTGACTTTCAGTTAAAATATATGAGCTCAAAACTATATTTTATGTAAGTAAAACAAAATGGAATGAAAATTACTGAAATTTTCATGCGATACGCACAAAAATATAATTATGTAGTTATGAGGAAACTGTTGATGAGAAAGAGATGTCTATTGCCCGAATCGAAAAAGCCATAGTCAGTTGTTCTATATTTCTTGTTTGATCGATAAAGCTCTGAGTGTGGGCAAAAGCGAGATTACTGAAAACTTTCGAATTACTTGGACATCGTAATAACAAGAAAAATCAAATGAATTCTGCTACAGTCGTCAACTCTTTTCTAACCCCCATTAGTGATGGGTCCTTCCCGATGTTCAGTAAAAACTCTCTATAAGACGGGCAGCTTTTTAAGGGGCACTTGATCCCCGTCGGCGGTGTCCTTCTTAGAATTAAGAGTTGACTGTATTTCCAAGCATCATAATTGATTCAGTCTACAACTGATGTAGTAATGTCACGTTCCGTCATGGCGAATAATCGCTAATAAGGATTATTTCTTTAAAATGCACTACGCAGATTCATGGATCACTGAGAAAGATTTTCCGTGTTCCAATTATGCAAAGGAATTAGGGCCGACAAAAGGAAACACTACGTTATGTTATTCCGCTATCCTTCTTTGTTCTCTGTGATGCATGAGTTCACTGAGATTACGGAATATTTTTCTCAACCTAAATGTCGTTCTTATTGTCTGTAAAGCGTTAATTTTATCATGAAACCACGCGGCAAGACCGCCTTATTTATGATTTTTCAGTTCTACTTTGTCTTTGTGAACTGTTATGAACTTGTTTCCTACGACACCCCTCAAGAAGCCATGCGAGCTGCGACGGAAACAGAAAATAGCGATACCTCTTCGAAGAACGTTCATGTTGTAGGTAAGTGTTAATAAAATTGTGCTTAGTATCATGTACTGACTTTAGCTGACCCAGTTTAACATAAAATGCAAACTGAGTATTTAGAGTATTATCGACTTTGTTCGACCACAACTTAGATACAAGTATCTGCTTTTTTGAAATGCAATTACTTAGACTATAGCTAGCTATTTGAATTGCACATTCCGTGCACGTTCGGTACTTGACGTTTTAGTAGGGTGAGCCCTTCTTGAGCTCCTTGTACAAATTACTGTATTATATTTTGGCTAACAACTGCTGCTTGCTCGTTTTTCAGAGAATGATGAGGAATTCGATCAAGCAGATGACAACCTAGGTTAGTTAAATGAGTTGTCTAATAACAAAATGAAAAGCCGATAAAGCGTTTAATTACTGGCAGTTTTGGCCTTTGGTAACTACATTATATTTTCTCGGTAACCGTTTCCCACCGCCTTTCTTCACCCCTCTTCAACGAGGGTCATAAAAGAAAACGTTACTGAAAAAAGCTCCCACACAGCTCTATTAGTTCGATTTTGGTATAAAATACAATATCTCCTAGCCAAAAGGTAAAGTTTTTAGTCTTAGTTTGGTTATTCATGAGGGAACTTTAAAACTGGCTTAGTGGATAGAAAATACTTAAAAGTTATGATAAACAGGGCAAAGGTTACTTAGTGATTCATAAGGGCTGAATGTCCCACTTGAATTTGGAAAAATTTTGATTGATTTGACAAGAGGTTTCCACCAATATGGAGAAACTATATATATTTTTTCAGCACACAGAATGTATATGTGCAGTTATAACAAAAGAATTAAAAGCAAAGACTGAGTGTCAAACTATACTGCAAAATGATGATTATTTAACTTCTTCCCTTGCCCCTTGGCAATTATTACCCAGATTAGCAAAACAATGGCTTTCCATCAAACGTTCTCTGGGAAGTCATACCAGTTCTGTTGCCAGCCTTTATAAATTAGTGACATCTTGTTATTAATATAATTTTGTACTTCAGCTGACAAGGCCAGCGTGACTTGCCTCAAAAACAACATGGTCATCGCCATTCCCAAGTACGTACTTCGTGGAGCTGACCGAGAGCACATCAGAGCATTGAACGTGAGCTGCACAGCTTCTGAAAATCTCACTCACTTTTTCCTCGACGTACCTCTGACCAGCTGTGGTACCAAAAGAAGGCACACAATTTCTTCCGTTGTTTACACCAACGAAGCTTTACCCGTTCCACCGATGTTAAAGGACGTCGTCTCTCACGTCCCTGATTTTCAGATTCCTTTTCACTGCTACTATGACAACAATGGCGTGGTAACTAGCGTTGGCTTGAAGCCTTTTAGCAAGAAAGTGATTTTCTCAAAGAAAGGATTTGGAAGATTTGTTATCAAGCTCACCTTGTTCCCAGATATGAGGTAACATATTTTTGTTATTTGATAGAGGGTACAAATAAAAAGTTAGCCCCTGTTAGCCTATTTTCCTGGAAAACTGGTGACCATATCCGGTTCGAAGGACCATTTACTGGGAAGGATTAAATGCCTTTAGTTCCCTATATGAATACCATAGGCTTGAATTCTGTGAAACCCAAACAATTTAAATCCACTAAAAACCAAAAGCAAGCACTGACAACGAAGCACATTGGTTTGCAATCCCATGATTCCAAAGAAAGAACAGGCACACAAGGCGTGCACTGAAATCTGTACAACATTCTTGACACCATTGATTTCCTTTGGACCGTCAAAAAAACTGCAGATTTATGCGAATATCTAAATGTCCTTAAATATAAATTAATACATGAATTGAAGTTTGGAATATGTCACATTCTCACATTTTCAGTGCACTTTCTCACAAGTAACAATATGCGATCATATTTGTTGTCGTTTTTAGATTCGTAGGACCATACACTCAGAGCGACTTCCCCGTTATGAAGAAGCTACGGGAGAGGATCTATTTTGAAGCTTCAGTTGACACTTATGACCACAGGCTAACCATCCTCGCCAGGGATTGTTACGCCACGCCTTCATCAAACAGAAACAGTAACCCCAAGTACTGGATAATTCAAAAGGGGTGAGAAAAAAATATTTAAAAAGCACAGAACACAAAAAAGGCCGGTTTAAAAAATAGGAAAAAAAGGATTCGTGGCCACAAAATCTCTGTAATATCTTTATCCCGTGAAAATTAATATATGCAATTCTCATCTTTATTACAGCGAAGCGTTTTCAAAATAGGTAAACAAAACGCGAAATAAATTACTGAATAAACTTGAAAAGTAAACTCGAATCAATGGCTCTACCAGATGTTCCTCATTCTAAGGCTGTATAATATACGGGGTATTGGTATCAGGATCGAAACAGCCTCTTCGGCTATTTTATAGAGACGGGATTAGGCTGCTTTCTCCTACGGCTAACGCAATGATTGGCCCAGATATCAACAGTGATAAGCCAGACCTTTGCTTAAACCAATAGTAGCAGGTGGTAAAATTATATTGGTGTCCATTTTGTTTCTTTTGCAGTTGTAAAGTAGATGAGACACTTATCTATCATCCATCTAATCACCTGTCTGAGAGATTTAGCGTAGAAAGCTTCTCGTTCATTGGTGATCACCCATTTGTTTTCGTCCATTGTCATGTACGAATTTGTAATGCCTCGGACCCAAACTCCAAATGCGTGCGCATTTGTGAAGACGTTGAACGACGCAAACGTGACGTCAGTTATGCAGCTGAGCTTGGCAATGACGTATACCCTCTTGCCCAGGGCCCTCTGTCTTTGTTAAAAGAAGAGGTTGATGTTAAAGGGAGAAGCAGCTCAATTGAAAGTGCAGGTAGATCTAGTTTATTTTACCTTCATAAACATTGTTCTGCTCTAGAAAGCAGCCAAAATAACTGACATGACTGGCAGAACTTTTTTGTAGAGTTGAAAGAAAACAAGGAACGTCATTAGTCTAGAACTAAGACGAGAAACGTTTTAGAAATCAAAAGCCTTCTGAAAAAGATTGTCGTTGGTGGTTAGTTTAGTCTTGCTTCGGTGACTGGCGTCGAAATGGAACTGGCCGAAAGAGGGAAAAAGGGGTTTTCGCCACGTAGAAGTCATTATCAGTATCTGACGTGGAAAAACTCGTCCACCAGCCCAAAACTCACATATACGATCATATCTAATTTACATAATCTAATTCAAACCAAAACACAACTTATCGGATCGAAGGGAATTCCCCAAGAGGTGACACTGGAAATTGCGCCGCACGTTTGACACCAAAAACGTATTTTGGTTAACTTCATTCAAATTTTACGAATGTCAAAAAAAAGAGAGAAAATCATCAAACATAACACACGATAGATCAAACCGAAATGAGCAAAAAAAAAAACAAACAAAAGAGGGAAGAACGTTTTAAATAGTAGTTCATGGATTTTTTTCTTTATTTCAGGTCCAAACATACCTGTTATCGCTATACTAGTTGGCGTACTTGCGCTGTGTATAATTGGTGCAGCTTACATGGCGATAGGGAACAAGAGGAAGACGGTGAGGCACTACTCGACTCTGGTCCAAGAAATTCAAAACTAACAAACTGCATGCAAAGTTTTGCTTCAGAACTCGCGTTTTCACTTCCTAAGGACAGACATGCAAGTCAACGCCACGTAAAATAATGGAGCGAAAGCTTGTATTTTTTGTCTAATAGGTTAAATAGTTTGAAAGCTGTAAAGACAAGAGTCTCGAACGCTAAAAATGAGCAATTTCCTCTCTCTTTTTCTTAGAAAACTAGAAACGAAGTAAATCATGCTGATTGTTTTATTCCGACTTCTCAGTTATCCTCTTGCGTAGTTTTTCAGTTTCCAGAAATTGTTGAGAAACTCGTTTTTGTACTTTGTTTTGAACATATAAGCCTTCAGACTTTTAATTTCAGATATTGAAAATGTCTAAGAATACTTAGGAAATAAAAAATTTCCCCTAATTTCCGTAGTGCCTAGAGCTAGGATGAAAAAGGTCATTTCTTACAGGTAAACAGTTGCAAAATGTGGGATAGAAAATATATTCCATGAGAATTTGTTATAGTCAACTGAAAAAAAAAATATTTCGAGGGCGCCTCGATATAGATTATCAGATAGTTGTAGATTTGTCCTAGAACAAGCTCTCATTTCCAATGAGAATTGATCAGTGTTAAAAAAGAAAGGGAATTAAAATGACGTTAACGGTAAGGATGGGATATGATTTTTTTTTGAAAGCCACTGAAATAAAGCCTTGAAATGAAACGAGAACAAATTAACATAAACACAGTCCTGTGTTCGACGAATGTAGCTCAACCACGGGAAACACGTTTCCCATAACTCATGGTTGTCGATAGCTGGATTCTGTATTCCTTGTGTTGAATTCCGGATTCCAGGATTTCAAATCCCAGTATTCCGAATCCTGAAGCTAACTTTCCCAGATTCTGGTAAGAAAATAGTGTGATCAGTCGGGCTCTTGTGTATCGATAAAATTGCGTCATTCCCTGACCTTATGTTAAATAAACAACACTTTAATTAAGCTTTTTTTCTGTTCATTTGTTGTTTGAAGGTTAAATCTTTCAGTATCGCAGTAAAGCTTAAGCAAGTCGTTTGAAATGAATGCGAGAACTTTTTATATTTTTCTCGTCACGAGCTTAATCACAAGCAACAAATGCTGATGCAGAAACTTGCTGATTATGAGTGTTTCTTGTAATAATTATTTTCTTTTTCAAAGTTTCATGCTTCTAGCTTTGAGTCTGTTTAGTCTATCATATGGCCTAATTATTTTTATTATTGAGTCGTATGTGCGCGACTAGACGTACTTTCTTGTTTCATAAACACAGGGCATTGCCTTATCTTGTAGAATCAGTCAGAACCACGATCCTCTCTTGGTCAGAAGCAATTGGAAAATAAAAAAAGGGCAGCTGAATTTACTAATTCGATAACAGTTGCACATTACGAAACAGTTCTCACACGTGTTTAGCTTGAACTGTTTACTCTTCTGCATAGAGTTTAAACAGTGTGTAATACTAATCACGATGGAGAAAGCATTGTTTTATGAGTCTTATAATTCAACGAGTTATAGGTCAAGTAGTGAGTCGGATGAGGGTTAAGCACTGCAAGTAGTGATTAGGGTTAATGACGTTAAGCGCTGAAAACAGCCATATTAGGGTTAAGCATTGACAAAAGTGTTTTGGTAACCATAGTATCGTTGTGAAAATGATTCATTGCAATAGTCCACGCAATGAATTCCCTTAACTTTCGCTTAATGAGTTTTAGTTAGCGCTTCACAGTCTGAAAAGAAAGCATTTTTATTAAATAATCCTTTTCTTTCATAGTTCAGTAAATAGCAAATATGGTGATAATTGCATTTAATATTTTGACGCGTCATCTTAAATTAATTTTGACTACATATCAAGGAAACGGTCACGAATGTGTACAAGTGTTTGTTTTCCCTGTTTTTATTTTTTATTTTTATTATTTTATTTTTTATTTTTTTAAGAACTCAGAAGGGAAAGAGATAGAAAGAGATGAAAAAATTAGGTTCAATGTAAAAGATAATAATGAAAATAAAATTGTTCATTATTCCATTCAGTTCTTGAGATAACGCTTCAAACTTCAAACCTAATAAAATGTACTATTTTGCTTACTGGGCGGTGAACCTTAAAAGAGTTCCAAACGTTACCTGTTGTAAAGTTACATTTCAATTAAACTTTTTATACAGCAAAATATTTTTCATGCATCAAGTTTAAGTTGTTTAAATTGCGTTTAATTTTGTAAACAAATCTAAAAATTTGCTTACAAATAAATTAAAGGGTCAATGTCATTTTCATAAATCAAATTGGTTTCAATGCGATTGGCTTAGCTCAGGGAAATACAAGGCATTTATACCATTTAACGTCAACAATTTGGGTATTCTTGAAACACATTGCAAGGGCGTTCAACAATGTTCAAGGATTTTGTGCTAGTTTCTGCAGTCTTAATTCAGTTCCTTAGCTGCTGTCCTAAACAGATATCAGCAGTTTTGGATAAAGACTTAGAAATAGAAGAACGACATGGAAATACAGGACACTTCTCGGATGAAATAATGGCGGGAAATCGAGAAGAAAAAACGTCAGGGCGGACGGCTGATTGGAAACAGAGTGATGTATACCGCAGTGATTGTATGAAATAGTTCAAGTGTTTTTTTTTTTAAATGTGTTGTTTTAAGGGTTCAAGTTTATAGAGGCCGACGGTGGGGCAAAGTAAGAGTTTGCGTAAGTGAGCTAGCGTGCGTGGGTTTAAGTTATTTCTTTGGCCAGTTTTTTTTTTTTTCAAAAACCGTGATTCTTTTTTGTGTTTTAAAAATAATCAGATAGATGATTGTGCAGTTCTAAACGTCTTCTATTTCTTTATGGTCACTATCTTGTTATCGAATTCCACACAAACAGAACAAAAACGATGTGATTATGACTCCGGATTTGTAGGGAAAAGAATCGATCGAAGAGTGGGTACACGCAAAGTCTCAACTTCAGTAATCCAAATTACTTTAAAGAGATTAAGTGTATATATTCCTGTACAAAGTTTATTCTCTGAGACAGGGCTTTTGGTCACGTTCCTTTAAAACAACGAAGTGTCAGATTCACTTGGAAGGAATGTCAAAGACAAACCGAAACAACATAAAGTCAGTTTCAAGTCTTTACTAGCAAACTGTTTCAATTCAGTACAACTGCAAAATTTGGTCTTCGAAAAAATTTTAAATTGATAGAGAGTTCACTTCCATGCTGCAAATTTATTTGTTTTAAGTCTTTTTGAAAAAGTGTTTTCCACCATTCAAGCCGATTGCATTCTTCTTAAACGGTGTATTATTTATTTTGTCTTTTTGTCAGCAGCGGTTTGTCCAAATGGCTGGTTTCATATCCATGAATACTTATACTTGCACAATAGTCACAAAATAATTCTAATCTTTGTTTCTTAAGATCCGGGCAAGTGTTCTGCGCCCAATAATGGCGGCTGCAGTCACCAGTGTGTTAACACTCCAGGAGGCCACAAATGTGAATGTCCGGACCCCGAGCTAATCTTATCGCCGGATAACAAGACGTGCTATGGTAAGCAATTGTCGTTAACGTGGTTAAACATGCAGAAATAGGCAAATAAAATAAAATCCTTGGGTTTCAGTTTGTTGTTAGAAAACCTTCGAGTATCCGGCTTTTTAACAACAATCCTGGATACGTATGTATAGAACTTACTGAAGTGAGCGCGGTTTAAAGCACAAAAGCGAATAGTGTTTCGTGCAGATGCGTGTAGATCTGTCGAAAGGGCCTGGGTTCATGAGGGGAGTGTGGGCGTAGACAGGAAACAACAAGCATAGCCACATGCATCATCATTCTCTTCTATAAGAGAGAATAATCTATGATAGCGAACGACCCATACGTGTCCCTCTTCCCAAGAAATAACTTTCACGGCGCACAGGGATTCGCTCTCTTTTTCTACCGTCAATACCAATTTATCACCAAGTACTGAACTGTAAAATAACCTGTCAAAGTTTCAAGATTTTTAGTTAAATATTTAACGACTTGTCTTGGTTTTCTCTCTTTTTTAGCTCCAGGGGTCGACGTGCATTGCAACAGCCATAACATGACTATTGTTATTCCCAAGTCCCTCCTCCGCGGTATCGACCGAGAGCATCTTCGACTCCTGGACACCAGATGCAGAGCTAGAGAAACAGCGTCACACTTCTCTCTCACTACACCACTGACCGGTTGTTTGACAACAAGCAGGCACACACCCTCCACTGTTGTGTACTCCAACTCAGTTTTAGAGATTCCCGTGGGTGCAGACGATAAAATAACACGCGTGCGTGAAATAGAAATTCAATTCAGCTGTTTTTTTTCCAGATATGGGGTTACTTCATCCGTAAGCTGGAGACCCAGTCAGAGAAAACTGATGTTTAGCGATGAAGGAAAGGGAAAGTTCACCATTGCTTTGAAGATGTTTCCTGACCGCAAATTCCTTAGTCCTTACATGAAGAGCGATTTTCCTGTGGATGTGGTTCTACGCCAGCTTTTGTTCTTTGAGGTATCAGTGACGTCAGATGATAAGAGGCTGTCAATCAGAGCAGATCGTTGTTATGCCACACCTTCAAATGACAGGAAGGACGACTTGAAGCACGAGTTGATTGAAAACAGGTGAATGAACTTGACATATAACTACTTCCTCGGTTTTATTAATGATATTAATGATACTCATGTAATGTTGATCGAGATTGAGGTGGAACCATTTCCTGCAGCATGTCCAACAGCATTAGTCCAGAATGTACTGAATCTGTAAACATTTATTAACCCTAAGTGAAATTGTATTTGTATTTTATTTTTGCTCCAATCTATAGATAATACATTAGTTGCACAATATTAATTAGTACAAGGTTGTTTAAACTACGTGTACATAAGAAAAAAAAGAAAAAAAATTAGAATGGAGAAGGGCACATTATAGTAAAACTAATTATGGCCCTTTAACAATATTGACTTTATTCTATTATAGCTTTTTTATTCATTAAAACACAAATAACACTAAACTAGCCAGCTTCAAAAGACGCGGCCA